ATGGCCTTCTTCCCTCACTCTCTCCCTGCTCACCATACTCAACTCCTGCCTCAGGACCTTTGTACTTGCTGGCCTCTCCTCTCTGCCTAGAACACTCCTGCTCCTACTCTTGGCCTGCCTGGCTCTCATCCTTCAGGTCTCAGCTCAGCAACACTTCAGAGTGGTTTAAGTTGTTCCCTTCTAAGACAGCTCCATGATAGCATCCTTATTTTCTTCCCTGCTATCTGCCCTCATTAGTGGACTGGCTTGTTCACTTATTGCCCATCTCTTCCATAAAACCTGCATTTCTCCAGGGCAGAGAGATCCTGTGTTGTCTTATTTCCATGGTAACCTCAGGGCCCAGCCCTGGGCTTGGCATTGGGCTCGGTGCCCAGTGCGGGTTTGTTGTGGGGCCAGTGTGCACAGCAGCCAGGACACCCTTGTCCGTGCTCGAATTGTCCTTGGAGAGGAGGCTTGGGCTGTTGTGGTTTCTCTATACCTGTCACCACTGGAGCAGATGAAGGAACTCATGACATTTCATGGGAAAAAGGAAGGCCAGGCAGAGCCTGCTCATATTGCAAGTTTGAAGGGTCAGAGCTTGTGAATGAGAATGCAGACCTGTTTTTTGTTTTTTTCTTTTTTTGTGGCACTGGGAGACACAAGCAGAACCAGCGGTAGAAGGGGTGAGACCGATTTCTGCTTAGGCTGAGAAACAAACCAGTGTACTACAAAAGGGAGGGGGATGGTAAGGACACGATGGGAGGTTCCAGCAGAGAGCTGGGCTGGGGGTGGGGGTCCCAAGGGTCCTTCAGGACTCCATTGTTGTCCTTCTGGGCTAATTGTGTTTCTTTTGCCATTCATTTTCCAAATTTAGTAGAATGTTCTGTGGTACTATGGGCTGGGTGCTAAGCTGAGGAGGGTCAGATCTGACCTTGGGCAAGTCACTATGTCTCTTGGGACCTCAGTCTCTTTGTCTATAAAATGGGTGGTTGGCAAGGCTTCTCACTGAGCTCCCGCCATCTTTGGGGCCTCAGTCAAACCAGTGAATATTTCCCCGCTCCAGATTCCTCATCTTCAGCACCCCTGCTCAGTTACCAGGAGAATTACATGATAATATATGGGAAGTGTGTAGTGCTGCGGGTGCAACCAATTCCATTCATCCCAGCACTGTGGTCGGGGAGTGTGGCTCAGCACTCATAAATCATCCTGCCCACAGCTGGTAGCAGGTGATAGGGCAGAATCATCCGCAGAAGGTCAAGTACTCAGGGTGTTTGAAAAATATGCTTTCGCTCTTTAAATGACCTACCTCCACCAACATGTATTTCCTTGAAATGTGGCACAATGGTTCTGGAGGGCTGCATCCTGGGGAAGGCAGCTGCTCTCCCCTCTGGCTGGGGACATGCTGCTGGTGGAGGCAGAGGGATGAGTCATCATCATCTTGGGGGTGTGCTTGCTCCTCTTGAATGAGTGTCTGTGTCAGTCAGGAGTCTGGGTGCTGGGACAGCCATCTGCAGAGCCCAGGACCTGGACACACTCCTAGAGCCCGGTCCTCAACAGCACATGTCCGCCCCTGCTCTCTTGCAGAAGTGAACTGATCCCTTGGGCACCTGAAACTTGGCCATTTGAGCTTTCCAGTTTTATATTTGTGGCCTTAACTTGCTAGTCGTCTAAAATGGGCCAAAAGAAGGAACCACCTATTTCTAGGCCACAGTAGTTTTTATTGTATAAAAAATAACCCCTAGTAGACCTCTGCACAGTATGTGCTCTTGTATATTAACCTTTCAGAGGGAACGAATGTCATTCAAGTGGCACAGTCCTACGTGAACTCAAACTTCACGAACGAGGCGTGACAGTTCCCATGGAGGTTAGAATGATTTACAGGTGAATTAGCACAGTGTAAAGTAGGAGGCTGTCACCACTGGGGTGGGTGGGAGAGGGAAATGACATCAGAGAAGGCTACTTATAGGAGTTGAGACCCGAGGTGGGTTTTTGAGGGACAAGAAGGGTTTGAAATATGGAGATGGAGGTGAGGGGGGCAGGGAAGAAGGAAGTCTATCCAGGCGGTGGGGATAGGAATGGCTGGAGCAAAGGAATGGATGTGTTCAGAGGCCATGGGGGGTTCTATGTGGCTGGGGACACTGTGTGTGTTCGGGCTGCATCATCCCTCAGCCTGGCAGTCACCAAGGGGAGGCTGGAGATCAGTCTGGTAGGGGTGGCCTTGGCAAGATCTGGGGCTAGGGTCTCCGCCTGGCTGGGGGCACAGGGCTCCTGGAGGGAGGATGGTAGCCAGAAGGGCTGACTGGTTCAGCAGCTAGAGCATAGAAGCCACCTGCCCGTCCCAGGAGGCCCAAGCACCTTTGGTCAGCAGGAGAAGCCCCCACACAGCAGAAGGACCTACTTTTTGCCCAAGGACCTTGCATCTGATGGTTGGAGCACTTCAGTTATTTGGACCCATTTGAGAAGGGGTTTGCTTAACTGTTGCCATTGGGCTCTTCCCTGGGAAGGGCTGATTTGCCTGCACCCATTCAGAGAGAAGCAAATTGCTTACATGTATTTCAAAGTATAAGGATTTGAAAGCCGTGAAGCATCATGTCCTGTCAAATGCCCTATAACCCAAGGGCCTTTTCTCCAGTCCATTTGTATTCCCTCTGTTTTGCTTAGTGAAGACCCCCAGATTCTCTCCTACTTATTTGGGGTGCAGATTTGGGGTTTCTTGTTTGAGTTTACTTATCCTTATTTGTTACACCTAATTATTATGTCACGTTGATCAGACTCTGAGAGATCAGAAGTACATAGCACTTACAAAAATGACATTGACATAATTGTCTAATCTTTCTTTCTGCTACATGGGGGAGAAAAGATTTTTCTTTTAACCTTTTTGTAAATAATCACTGAAGAAAATGGACTTTAGCCAGAAATTGGGCAGACTTCTCCAAGTGCACGAGGGGATGCTCAAACTCCCTAGATGTTGTTTTTTCATTTAATGCTCCCTCTGTTTATGGTTGCTTTTTATTGTTGGCACTAGGCTTCTTTTCTGTCTGTGAAAGAAGAAAGCAGTCCAGCAATGTGAGGTTGCTTGAAACCGAAATGTTCCTTATAAAAGCACAGTGCATGTGTATGTCACAAAGGGCTCTTGACTGGTGTCCTTTTGTGTCCCAGGGACTGGGCTGTGTGTAGGGAACTCAGAGATCAGCGGGCCCAGGCCTGGACCCAGACTTGGAGGAGCTCTCTGGTGGGGGTTGAGAGTAGGCTGCCTGGGTGCCCCTGACCCTTCAGGGGGAGAGATGAGCCAAGCCTGAGGTGGAGTAAGAGGGCCAAGGACACAGGGACATCGGCCCCAGAACCCATCGCCGGAAAAGGGAGCTGGCATTGGACCCAGCAGCCACCCAGCCCAGGCCAGTACTCCCACAAGGAGGGGGCAGAGGACATGGGATGAGGGGGCCAGGCTGAGCCCCCCTATCAGATGGGGCAGGTTGAGGGGCCTTGTGCAATGGAACAGTGGAAGGAAGGATTATGGGACAGGGCCATTCAAGAGGACCCAAAGGAACTGAGAGCAACGGCGGGCATGGATGTGGGGTCCACTGTGATGGCATACTCTGACCCCTGCCCCTCGCCGACTCCAGGCCGTGTGGCTCACTTCTCTCCAGCCTCCGCGCTCTCATCGGGTCCTGGCCTCCTGGCAGCTGTCTCTTGTCCCTTTGGCCTGCTGTGCTGTAGGCAGCTGGGCCCCAAAGCTGACCATGACGTCTAAAGATGCCTCAAGGGATGAGGTCAGCAGGCCAAGGCTGTGCGGGACCAGCGTGGGACCAGTTCTGCCCCGGTGATTTGGGAAGGCCTGGAGTCTGCATGCAGCCACCCCGTGCCTCTGATCCACAGGACCCAGGGGTGCCCTTGTCCTCCATTGAGGAGGGCAGTGCTCATTTTGGCAACTACCTTGTTTTTGTTGGTTTTATTTTTTACTTATTTATTTTTTTGAATTTTATTTTATTTAAATTCAATTAATGAACATATAGTGTGTTGTTAGTGTTGGTTTGTTTTAAATGAGGTTCTCTTCCTTATTTATCGTCCTTACTGCTTCTTAGGAAGAAATGAACCCACCTGTTCCTGCTATCCTCAGTCAGGGTCCTCTGTTCCCCCTCTCTGCCGGAGGGTTCCTCCCTCCCTAGCCTTCAATCTGTGCTCCTCACTCACACACCCAGCCCGGCTTTGTGGCCAGCCCTGCTCCCCTCCCCCTGTCCTTTGTTCCTTCTTGGAGGCTCCTCTTTCAGCCTCCAGGAAGCCTGTCTCTGGTGCTGAGCAGCACCAGGTATTCCAGCTCCTTTACCTGGAGCTGTTCTGCAGGGCCCCTGCTTGCTCACCTCTGACCTCCTGCAACTTCAGTGGAGGGGGGCAGGTGGGGGAGGTTCTAGATGACCTGTCCAGCCCAGAGCAGTTCTGGCATCGTCTTTGGCCTTCTCCTAGGGCTGTCCCCTCTCCCCCTTCCCACCTCTAGGAAGCCTTCCCATTGACATGTTGCCATTGCTGACCACATCTTGCTCCCCCCATCACTGACCGTCCCCACATCTGTCTTCAAGCTCTGGAAGACCCTTGTCCTCTGCTTTCTTCTGCCCACCCAGCCTTCCCACTGTGCAGCCTTCCCCGTGGGTCCCTTGTGTGGACCCTACCTTGCCCCAGGCCCTTCTTGGCCTCTTGACCTTTTAGCACATCCACCTGCCAAAGCCAAGCTGCGATCATCCTGCTTGTGTCCTCCCGTGGGTCTCTGCCCAGCTGCCGTGGAACACTAGAGACAACATCTACTCCTGCCTGGGCCGCAGCTACTGAATGCTCCAGGCAGTGTGCCAGGCCCGAGGAGCCCGAGAGCAGCGAGGGCGCAGAGCTCTAGGAGGCTGGTGGCTGGGGCCTCAGGTGAAGTCCTAGGCAGCTAATCAGGGGACCTTCCAGTGGGGGTGGAGATAGGCAGGGACTCATGTCACCAGAGAGAGCAAAGCTCACCAGGCTTTCAGGACAGTCTTTCCTTCGTCTCAGATTTACAAGATTTTTCTCGTGTGTTATTAGAAGAATCTGTGTGAGGAAGGGCAATGGAGTCTTCTGATATTCTGATGAGGAGATGAGCAACCCCGGACTGGATGATTTACTCCTTTAGCAGCTTCTGAAATGTGGGCCTCGGTTGACAATGGAAGGCTTTATCTGGTGTCTGCAGCTGCCATCTGGTGGCTGGATGAAGGCCCTTCTGAGGTTGTGCTGGGCTGCTGGGGCTGGCTTGCATGTGTGCCTTTGCTTACTCACTTGTCTTTTTAAAAAGGTCCCTGTGGGGTCATCAGAATGTGGTACCTTTGGGGAGAAGAACACAGCCAGGAGAGTGAATTTACATCTAGGTAGCCCCCTGCTCTGAGAGGGGCAAGTGACCAAGGCCGTGGTCATGCCCACCTCCAGCATTTGCCTCCTCCCCATGCTGCTCATTCATCTAAATCTTGGCATTTGGTGCCCCTGCTGGGGATTGCTCCCCACCATCTCAGCCCTCAGGTCCACCAGGGCCCTCTGCTGTGGAGCTTGTCCTCAAGTTTCCAGGCCTGGTCCTTTGGTTGGCATACCCCTGCATCTTCAGCTATGCCTTGGTATCACAGATCCCATCTGCCTCCCCCACATAGCTACGTCTGGATCCTGGGGCTCTGACTCAGTCATTTGAAGTCAGAGTCTGACCCCTTTTCGGCTGCCACAGCAGCTACCCTCTCAGTACCCTTCTAGACCTCTGGCTCCTCCTCTAGTAGCTGCCTTCTTTCTTCTTCTCCCTTGCTTGGCTTGGCCCAGTATCTGTCCCCCAGTCGCTCCTGAGAGGGGTCTTCCTCCCTTGCCTGATTGTCCAGTTTCCATCACACCCACATGTCCTCCACCAACCCATGAGACCAGCCTGGGAACCAGACAGCCCTGGGCTTGAATCCCAGCTGTGCCATTTACTAGCTGGGTCACTTCGGCAAAGTGGCTTGACCACTCTGTGCCTCTGTTTCCTTACCCTAAAAGCGTGTCTATTGATAAAGACCCCTTAAGGTTGTCAAGAGGAATAAATTAAATCATATTACAAACTGCTCAGCTTAGCAACTGGAGTGCTCAGTTGACAGAAGTGAGGCTGTCGCTGTTTTGGTGATGACCATTTAGCTCTGCACCTTCTGCCTTCAGGCAGGAGTAGTAGGGCCCCTTCACTGGGCCAAGGTACATAAGCCACGCAGCCATGCTTTGGGGGTAATCCCTCCCAACCACATAGATCAGCACACCCTTAAACCCAAGGGCTTCTGCTGGGCCTTTATCAGTGCCTGCCCCCCCTAGTGTGGGTCCCCTTACAGCTTCCTTTCCCATCTTCCCAGTGGCTCTTGAAGTCTTTGCCACTCTACATACCCTCACTACCCCAGCAAAACACCTTGCCTCCTTCTCATTCCATAGAACAAAAAAGTCCACCTTCTGGACCATCTCAGCTCTCTACCATCACACTTAGCGACCTCCCTGCATCCACCACTGTGTTGACTCCAATGGGACCTCGTTCCACAGCTGTTCTCCTTTCTCTCCTGCAGCCTCAACTTCTCTCCTGGCTTCTTCCCACTGTTCCACCTGACCCATTGCCCACGGCCTTGAAACTGCCCTCATCATAGTCTTAGGTTACCTTCCAGACCTGGAAGTTGGACCAGTAGTAAACCCGAGTGTCCTGTTTACTCCTCCCCTCCTTCACCTCTCATGTTCAGCTGTCACGAGGTCCTGTGAGTGCCAGCCCTGAACAGTTTTGCATCTGCCTGCTGCCCTTCATCTGCATGGTCTCCACCTTGGCTCGGCCACCTGGCCTCCCAGATCCGGGACTCTAGAGTCTTCCATTAGAGACTCCTCAACAGCCAGAGTGAATCTTCTAAAATGCAGTTCAGCTTGTTTCCAGTCCTCGGGAGGATGAAGTGAGAGCACTTCATTTTGTGCAGCTAGAAAACCTGGAGAGAATGCATGGGACAGCTATTTAAGCACCCTGGAAATTAAGTAGCCACAGCAGATTGGAGAAGATCATAATTTGAAGTAACAATGAACAGGTGGTAAGTTTACAACTTTTTTCCTTCCAGTATTTTCCAGTCTGGACTTGGGGGAGACCCATGAGTGAGCAGACAGAGAGAGCTCCAGGACAAGCCCTCTCGTTCAGGCCCAAGGAACGGGAAAGTTCCCCTACAGTGATAGTAGCAGCGGGGGGCTGCAGGTGCCTAGAGCTTTGAGGGAAACCCTCCCCTCCAGGAGAAAGAGTTGTGGTCCCAAGAGAGTGAGTGAGAACCCCTGTTGCATTCTTCTCTTTCTCTTCCCACCCACTTGGCCCCAGATGTGGGTGCAGTGATGGGAAATGGACAGTGGAGAGATAAGTAAATAAAGTCCCAGTCTTGGGCCAAAGGACAGAAAGAAGGAACCCTTGGGAACTGGAAAATACCAAGATATCACAGAGAGGAGCTTGGGAAACTGACCCTGTAAAGTTGTTTATGAGCTTCTAGGTTCATGTCCAAGCTGCACGTGCATGAGTCAGATCCTAAACTGCATACTTGGAGAACTGAACTAAAAGCCACATGAACACCAAGGTCCCAGTGGCCACTGGCACATATGAGGGAAAGATTCAAATAGCACTGCAAAGGCATTGTAAAGGGAACTGATAATGAAATCATCACCAGGAGAAGGTTGGTCAGAACTTGTGGCTTAAAACCAACTAGGTCAATTGCCAGCTAAAATGAAAATATCAAAGTACCCACATCAGGAATGAAAGAAGCCATCAGCAGTATAGATACCACAGACATAAAATAATAACAAGGGAATACTACAAATAACTCTACCCACAATTCTGACAACTTAGATTAAATAAACAGATTCTTCAAAAATCATAAACTCCAAAATGCACCCAAGATCAAGTATATAACCTAAATAATCCTATAACATTAAAGAAATTGCATTCATTGGGTGCCTGGGTGGCTCAGTCGTTAAGCATCTTGCCTTCAGCTCAGGTCATGATGCCAGGGTCCTGGGATCGAGTCCCACATCGGGCTCCCTGCTCAGCGGGAAGCCTGCTTCTCCCTCTCCCACTCCCCCAGCTTGTGTTCCCTCTCTCGCTGTGTCTCTGTCAAATAAATAAATAAAATCTTTAAAAAAATTATTTAAAAAAATTGCATTCACCGTTTAAAACCTTTCAAAAAAAAAAAAAGAAGAAATATTCAGGCTCAGGTGATTTCATTGGTGAATTCTACCAAACATTTGAAGAAGTGATAACACCATTTGCACACAACTTCTTCCAGAAAATAGAAAAGGGGGAAACACTTCCCAATACATTACCTTGATATCAAACGGGACAAAGATAGTACAAGAAAAGAAAACCTCAGACCAATATTTCTCATGAACATAGGTGAGAAAGTCCTCATTACACTATTAGTAGTTTGAATACAGCAATATATAAGTAGAATAATACACCATGACTGAGTGGGATTCATACTAGCTGTGCAATATAGGTCCAGTATTTGAAAAGCAATCAGTGGAATCACCATATTAATGGTCTAAATAAAAACTACATGATCATGTCAATTCATGCAGAAAAAGCACTTGAAAATATTCAGTATCATTCATGGTAAAAACTTCCAGCAGGGGCATGTGGGTAGCTCAGTTGGTTAAGTGTCTGCCTTCTGCTCAAGGGATCGAGCCCCGCATGGAGCCCCACATCAGGCTCCCTGCTCAGTGGGGAGCCTGCTTCTCCCTCTGCCTGCCGCTCCCCCTGCTTGTACTCTCACTCTCTCTCTCTAGCAAATAAATAAATAAAATCTTTAAAAAAAAAGAGAGAGAGAGAGCATGAGTGGGGGTAGGGGCAGAGAGAGAGGGAGAGGCAGACTCCCCACTGAGCAGGGAACCCAACATGGGACTTGATCCCAGGACCCCAGGATCATGACCTGAGCTGAAGGCAGACACTCAACTGACTGAGCAACCCAGGTGCCCCAAAGACCAATCATATTTTTATGTGCTAGCAGTGAGCCTTTAGAAACCAAAATTAAAAAAAAAAATTTAAAGCACCCCTATGAAATACTTAGGTATAAATATCACAAAACTTATATAGTATCTTTATACTGAAAACTAGAAAATGCAGATAAAAGACCAAAATAAATGGAGAGACATAAAATGCTCATGGATCAGAAGATTCAACAGAGTAAGGATGTCAGTTGTCTCCAAAATGATCAAAGGATTTAATGCAATTCCAATAAAAATACTTTAGCAAGACATTTTTTCTTTTTTTTTAATTATGTTATGTTAGTCACCATACAGTACATCATTAGTTTTTGATGTAGTGTTCAATGATTCATTATTTGCGCATAACACCCAATGCTCATCACAACATGTGCCCTCCTTAATACCCATCACTGGGCTACCCCATCCCCCCACCCCCTCCCTGACATTTTTTTCAATGTAGACAAGCTTATTATAAATTTATATGGAAAGACAAATGAACTAGAATAGCTAAAACAATTTTGAAAAGGATAAAGTTGGAGTAATTACCCAATGTTAAGACTTACTATAAAGAATCTGTAATGAAGATAGTTTTGTGTTGGCAAAAGTTAACTCAAAATATAAAACACATATAAAAGTTAAGTCAAAATATAAAACACAAAACTATAACACTTTTAGAAGAAAACATAGGAGAATACTTTTGTGACCTAAGATTAAGCAAAGAGCTCTTAAGTATAACATCAAAAGCATAATCCATTAAAGAAAAAAATTGATAAATTGAACTTCATCAAAAATGTGAAACTTTTACTCTGCTTCCTCAAAATGAAATATTTAAATATAAATCTAACAAAATTTGTACAGGATCTGTATGCTAAAAGAAATTCAAGATCTGAAGAAATGGAGAGACATACCATGTCCATGGACTGAGAAACTCAACATAATAAAGATGTCAGTTTTCCCAGCATTGATTTATATGTTTAAAACAATTTCTATCAAAATCCTAGGAAGACATTTTGTAGCTAACTCTAAATTTTATGTGGAAACACAAGGAACTAGAAGAGCTAAAAGAGTTTTGAAAAAGAATAAAGTGGAAGAAATCACTTTACCTGATGCCAAGACTTACTGTATATCTAGAGTAATCAAGACAACATGATGTTGGGGGAGGAACAGAGACCTATAAATCAATTTAACAGAATAAAAAACCCAGAAATAAACACAAATACACCAAATTGACTCTTTGACAAAGGTACTTTGTTGCTGGACTCTTTGGACATCCGAAGGCAAAAAAGAAATGAACTTCAACCTAAGCATCAAATGGTATACAAAAATTAATTCAAAATGGAGCATGGATTTAAATGTAAAACCATAAAACTTTTAGAAGAAAACATAGGATACCTTTGGGACCTAGGGCTAGGCAAAGAGTTGTTAGACATGTCTAAGATATGAGAAGCACACTCCATAAGAGAAAACATTAATAAATTAGACTTTAAATTTGAAAATTTTGGCATTGCAAAAGACCCTATCAAAAGGATGAAAAGACAAAGTACAGACTGGGAGAAAATATTTGCAAATTACTTGTCTAACAGAGGACCAGTATCTAGAATGTATAATTAAATGTAAAAACTCAACAATAAAAGAGAATCTAAATATAAATGGGAAAAAAACACAAACATATTTCACTGAAGGGAAGATACAGACGTCAAATAAGCACATGAAAAGGTGATCATTATCATTAGCTATTAGAGAAATGTAAATTAAGATCATTATGAGATATTACTACACACTTATAAGAACAGCTGAAATAAAAAATAGTGATGATAGCAAATGCTGGCAAGGATCTGTCCTATACATTGCTGGTGGGAATATAAAATGGCACAGCTACCGTGGAAAATAGTTTGGCAGTTTCTTACAATACTAAACATGCAATGACTGTATGACCTAGCAGTCACAACCCTGCACATTTATCCCAGAGAAATGGAAACTTAAGTTCACATAACAGCCTGCACACAAATGTTCAGAGCTGCATTGGTTTTATGGCAAAGTACTGGAAACTACCCAAGGGTCCTTCAGTGGGTAACCAATTGAACAAACTCTGGTCCACAACACAGTGGAGTACCACTGAGTAATGCCAACGAATGAGTTACCCATACATACAACAACTTGGATGAATCTCAGAGATATTAGGCCAAGTGAAAGAAGCTATTCTCAAAAAGTTGTATGACTCCATTTTATCTAACATTCTGGGAAAGGCAAAGACTGTAGAGATGAAGGACAAATCAGTGATTGCCAGGGGTGAGGGGTGGAGGGAGGGTGTGATACAAAATTATAGCGTGAGGGAGTATTTTGAGGGTAATGAAACTGATCTATGTCCTAGTGGAGGTGTGTTATGAAGCTATACATGTGTTAAAATGCATAGAACTGTACGACAAGAAAGTAAAATTTCCTGTAGGTTAATTTGAAAACAAAATGCAATTTTGACTTATATTCCTTCTTGGGCTCTCCCCTGCCCTCCAGATCTACCAGGCTTCCCCTCTCCTCATCAGCACACTATCTTTCTGTGAGGCATGCTGAACCTCTTACCTGCAAACCCTCTTCCCTAGCACCTGCAAATCCCTTTCCCATACCCTGTTTCTCCTTAGGTCTGCTTCTCCTTCAAGGAGAGGGCCATTCAGGAAACTTCCCTGAGCCAACCCCTTGCCTGGGCCAGATGCTTGCTCTCTGCAACTTGGTTTAGCTCCTTGTGCACAGTAGCTAGTGGTTAATGTGAATGTGGACTTCCCAGAGCCTCAGATTCCCCATTTGTGAGGGTCCTTGCAGTTCAAAGATTTCTAAGCCAGTGGGAGCCTCCCTGAGTTCAAACCATGGCTCCTTTACTTACCGGCTGTGTGACCTTGGGCAAGTTGCTTGCTGTCTTTTGCCTCATTCTCTCCTCTGTAAAATGGGCTTAATAATAGACCCACCTCTTAGAGGTGCTGTGAGGATTAACTTAGAGAATGCATGAAAAAGAACTCAGCACTTGACTTGGTAAATGTTCAAGAACAATTAGCTGTAATTATTGATAATAGCCATCTTGGCAGCTTTAAAATAATACAGGTTCCCAAGTCCTCCTGCCCTGATAAATCTGAATGAATGAGAGTAGTACTGGGTGGGGTGGGGCGGAGGAGGGTACCTACATTAAGAAAAAAAAAATCTCCTTAGATAGGAGTACCAGATTTTGCAAATAAACATACAGGTCACCCAGTTTAATGTGAACTTCAAGTATACAGCAAATAATGTCTTAATATAAGTATGTCCCATGTAATAGTCAAGACATATACCAAAATTTATTAATTGTGTATCTGGAGTTCAAATGTAAAGATTGTCCTGCGTTTTATCTATCTGCATTTAACTGTATCTATCCTGGGAGACCTTGACACTCAGCCCGCTTGGGAGCTATCCTCCTGACTCCCTGCTTAGGGTCCAAGGTTGAACCTCCCAGTCAGAAAATAGAGAGTACTTTTTTTCACTTGACACAGGAGGGAGCTAGAGGATGGCTGTTCACTTTCTTTGCTCCCAAATTGATGTCTAAGGAAGCATGGGCAGGTTAGCGGGCTTGCAACTTACCTCTCAGGACTTGTGAATCATTTTCAGAAGATCTGCAGGTCTGCGTCTAAGCGGGGCTCTGAAAGGCTATAAGAAGTGAACACAGAGCCAGCCACCTCTTTCTCTTGGCCTTACTTGCAGGGGGGCTAATCCAGCCCATCAGTGGCTCCCTCTTCTGCCCTGCTTCCCCAGGCTGGCCTACTCTCACATTGATGTCATAGCCCTATTCTGACATCACAGCCCTGTGCTCCGAATTATCCCACACAGCCCAGATTCTGCCCTTAGAACAACCAAGGCTGGCATTTGAGCAGGGGGTCAGGGGGTTTTGGGTGGTTGGTGGCCCTAGGGGTTGACCCTAAAGAACATATGGGCAGCCTGCCATCCAATTGCTCCAAAATGAAAATCCTCTAAAAGGTAGGACTCCAAAGGCTTTCCTTCTGTTCCTGTTGGCTGTGGTCCCCAGAGGTGGAAATAAATTCCTGGGGAATGTGGATTTGTTCTAGCTCTGTAAACAGCTCCTAGAAAACCTGCTGCCTTTGTGCCTTGGGATGCAAGGAGCCTGGAGAAATGCTGGTCTCTCCTTGGTCCACTCAACACTCTTCCCATTTGAAGGAATGACTTCCTGAAATGCAGAGTTTCTTATGTGTTGTGGGGGAGTTGTCCCTTAGCGTTTGGAGAATGCCTGCATGTACTGAGTCTGTGGTGGGTTCTTCTGTGGCCACCTCCTCTGTCTTCAATCCCTAGAGGCTGGGTGGGGACAGGGTTGTGCCCTTCTCAGCACAAAGGGAAAATGCAGCCATGTTCAAGCTATTAGCTCTCAGATCCCTCAGTCCCAAAGAGGAAAATACCCATCTGCCTAGCTGGCCAGAAGGTGTAATGAGGTCTCTTGTGAGCTTATTAAGTTAGTAAAATACTGACTGGCATTGATTAAACAACACACACACCCCTGAATAACTTCTCATTAACTTTGGTAGGTGGGCATGAAGTCCCCTGGGATGAGCACGTTAAAAGTCTTAGTGGAGGACCACCAAGATTCTGATGTCATGGTCCTGTGGTGCCCGGGAACCCCATTTTTTAAAAAGATTTTATTTATTTATTTGAGAGAGAGTGAGAGAGCACAAGAGGGGGGGAGGGTAAGAGGGAGAAGCAGACTCTCCACTGAGCAGGGAGCCTGAAGGCAGTCGCTTAACCAACTGAGCCACCCAGGTGCCCCGGGAACCCTACTTTTTAAAAATTTTTTATTGTTATGTTAATCACCATATATTACATCATTAGTTTTTGATGCAGTGTTCCATGATTCATTGTTTGTGCATAACACCCAGTGCTCCACGCAGAATGTGCCCTCTTTAATACCCATCACCAGGCTAACCCATCCCCCACCCCCTCCCCTCTAGAACCCTCAGTTTGGTTTTCAGAGTCCATCGTCTCTCTGCCTGACTTACTCCCCTTCATTCTTCCCCTCCTGCTATCTTCTTCTTTTTCTTTTTTCTTAACATATGTTGCATTATTTGTTTCAGAAGTACGGATCTGTGATTCAACAGTCTTGCACAATTCACAGCGCTCACCATAGCACATACCCTACCCAATGTCTGTCACCCAGCCACCCCACCCCTCCCACTCCCCACCACTCCAGCAACACTCGGTTTGTTTCCTGAGATTAAGAATTCCTCATATCAGTGAGGTCATATGATACATGTCTTTCTCTGATTGACTTATTTCACTCAGCATAACACCCTCCAGTTCCATCCACGTCATTGCAAATGGCAAGATCTCATTCCTTTTGATGGCTGCATAATATTCCATTGTGTATATATACCACTTCTTTATGCATTCATCTGTTGATGGACATCTTGGCTCTTTCAACAGTTTGGCTGTTGTGGACATTGCTGCTATAAACATTGGGGTGCACGTACCCCTTCGGATCCCTACATTTGTATCTTTGTGGTAAATACCCAGTAGTGCAATTGCTGGATCGTATGGTAGCTCTATTTTCAACTGTTTGAGGAACCTCCATACTGTTTTCCAGAGTGGCTGCACCAGCTTGCATTCCCACCAACAGTGTAGGAGGGTTCCCCTTTCTCCACATCCCCGCCAACATCTGTCGTTTCCTGACTTGTTAATTTTAGCCATTCTGACTGGTGTGAGGTGGTATCTCATTGAGGTTTTGATTTGGATTTCCCTGATGCCCAGCGATGTTGAGCACTTTTTCATGTGTCTGTTGGCCATTTGGATGTCTTCTTTGGAAAAATGTCTGTTCATGTGTTCTGCCCATTTCTTGATTGGATTATTTGTTCTTAGGGTGTTGAGTTTGAGAAGTTCTTTATAGATTTTGGATACTAGCCCTTTATCTGATATGTCATTTGTAAATATTTTCTCCCATTCTGTCGGTTGTCTTTTGGTTTTGTGAACTATTTCTTTTGCTGTGCAAAAGCTTTTTATCTTGATGAAATCCCAATAGTTCATTTTTGCCCTTGCTTCCCTTGCCTTTGGTGATGTTTCTAGGAAGAAGTTGCTGCAGCTGAGGTCGAAGAGGTTGCTACCTGTGTTCTCCTTTAGGATTTTGATGGACTCCTGTCTCACGTTTAGGTCTTTCAACCATTTGGAGTCTATTTTTGTGTGTGGTGTAAGGAAATGGTCCAGTTTCATTCTTCTGCATGTGGCTGTCCAATTTTCCCAACACCATTTGTTGAAGAGACTGTCTTTTTGCCATTGGACATTCTTTCCTGCTTTGTCAAAGATGAGTTGACCATAGAGTTGAGGGTCCATTTCTGGGCTCTCGATTCTGTTCCATTGATCTATGTGTCTGTTTTTGTGCCAGTACCATACTGTCTTGATGACAGCTTTGTAATAGAGCTGGAAGTCTAGAATTGTGATGCCGCCAGCTTTGCTTTTCTTTTTCAATATTCCTCTGGCTATTCGGGGTCTCTTCTGCCGGGAACCCCACTTTTAATAAGCGTTCCACACAGGGTTCATGCTGGCCCCCCGTGGGTCTCATTTTAAGAAATGTCATCTGTTTAAACTCCCTGGATTCCTTGCCACAACTGGCTGGCTTCCCCCATTTCCAAATTTCATGGTTTCCATTGAATGGGGATTTAATTCCATTTTACTGCCACATATTTATTTAATGCACTGGCTATAGAGAGACAAAAGAGACCATAAGGGTGATCACCAGGTGTGTTTGTACCCGAGTTCTTGGACCCTGTCTTCTAGGCGTAGGTGCAGCCTTTACTTGACAAGAGGCATTGTGTCTATGTCAGAGTATTATACCCTTTACTCATCAGACTCTCTTCATGGTCCTCACCTGAACTGAGAGAGGGGGAATATGGGTGTGAATTAAAGGTTATTGACCTTAACAGTGTTGAAGCGTATTGCTGACTGAAGGGATTGGCTTCAGTTTCTCTGGTGGCTCCAGGATGAACATTTCGCAGGACCCAGGATGGCAACCATTGCTCGTCGATAGGTCAGCAGCCCAAGGTGGGTATTCCTTCCCCACTTTGGCTGTGAATTCAGGCTTCCTTGAGAATGGCACACAGACTTCTGAGCAAGGCAACATATTCTGTGCCTAGTTGGGAAGGGAGGTCAGTTTCTGGCTTGGAGGTCTCTGGGTTGAGGCAGTTTCCCACATCCAGGTGTTCGGGTCTGGAGCCCCTAATGGTCTCAGTGCTTCTGTCTATGCTTCTGGTCCAGACGGGAGGCAGGACATGTCCTAGCCCTTGGTCCTTTGCCTGCAAGTTGAGGGACAGAGCAGTTGGCCTCACCCAAACCCTCCAACATGTGGATGGGTTGGCCTCTCTTTCTCTGAAACTCTTGTCTGCCCCGACCCACACCTGGGCCACCTCATCCAGTAGGGGTGGGGGAAGAACAGACGTAGTTGGTATCCCCTCAGTGACGCTGGGCTCACTCCATCCCAAGGAAGGGGAGGCCCTGACTGCCACCCTGGTGGGGGGGGAGAGAAAAATCAGTGCCCAATTTGAGAAATGAAGCTTTGGGGACTTCGTTAAAACAAAGGACAGGACTGTGTGCAGCAGGACAGCATCCTGAGGGCGCCTCACAGGTGGGGCCGGTCACTTCTATTCTGCAGCTTTTCACAACACTTCGAGCATAGTAGTTGCTCAGTAAACACGTGTCAGTTGAAAAGGATGCAGGTAAAAGCTCAGGTGGGACAGTTGGACTCAAGGATGTTATAAAACTCTAGGGATGGGATTTTGTAAAGCCTTTTTGTTGTTGTGGAAAATTTAAGACCAAAAGAGAAGTGGACAGAAGAGTCTCAGGAACCCACACACATACCTGTCTCTCAGTTACCTTGTCTCTACACCTCCAGCCTCTTCCCCCAACATTTTGAAGCCAGTTGCAGACCTCGTGTCATCCCATTTGTCAATATTTCAGGGTGTACCTTTAAAAGAGTAAGGATTCATTCTTAAAAATTTAACATAACAAAGTACTGTTATCACACCTGATAAATGAACAGTGCTTTGGAATGAGGTTGATTTCAGGGAACCGGCACACTCTTGGGTGTCCAAGAGGGTATAAAGGAACTGGAAATAGGAACGCAGGGGCTGAGAAAGGGGGGCAGGCCCGTGCTTCCAGCCGAGAAGGCAGGGCTTTAGTCAGAGTTTGAAGAAACCAAAGAGGAAGTTAACATCCCTCAGCTGGGAGAAAATTCTGGCCCTTCACAAAGAAGCAGGGCATGGTGTGGCTCAGGAGGTCATGGAAGGATGGAGACTCCCATTGGTTTGGCCTTGCCAGGAGGCCCTGCAGGGCAAAGAGCAGGGCATGAGCTGGCGTCAGTTCTCAAGTAGCAAAGGCAATAGCGACCACAAGGGAACTTAACAAAGCGACGGTATTTGTTCTGTAGGGGGTGTTGACAATTGGGATTTAGATGTGACCCTGTGACCCACACAGATGGCAGCAGCTTACCCCTGGGGGACTCCTATAAATCAGTGCTAGCTGAAAGAGGCTCAGGGTAAATGGGTCACCAGCGAGTTTGAATGTATGTGTGGAATTGGAAGAGACTGATGTTCAGTTCTTAGAGAAATCGAGTTGGATTTTCACAGTGAGGATGACAGCCTACGTTGTTCTGACTTCAGCTCTTCCCTTAGGACCCTCTGCCTACCTGCTAAGCCCCGGAGCCAGCCAAAGGATGGCCCTCTTATTTCAGTAGAA